TATATATATATATATATATGAAATAACTCAAAAAGGAATGAGCTCATTAAAAACTAGTTGTATTGATTAGCTTTCTCTGTAAGAAAAAACAAAACACTAAAGCATTTAATTACAAACTTTAAGGTGGAGGGTCATAAAAGTGTCATAATAAAGAAGCTGAGAAATGTTCTCTTTCTCTGGGGACTAGCATGCAATACAGAAGCAGAATAATTATCTCATTATTATGATAATCTCATTTGTTCCCATATTAGGAAAAAAAACAAAAAAATATGAAAACAGCTCTACAGCAGGCAAAATATCCTTTCTTGGCTACATTAAAGCAAGACAAAGTTTTAAAAACATGAAGAAGAATAAAGTTGGGACTTTACCCCTTAACAAATTTGGACTGCCTGATCCTCTATCTATTCTTCCTCTGCCATCCTACACATACTCCAGGCGAGTTCAAAAGAATATACTATTAAGATCCATTGAGTTCAGAAGACTAACATTTGAGCAAAGGCTTAAAAGTGAACTGCCTTATATCTTTAGTGAGTTCTACTTTAAATTGGTTGGATTCCAGGCTTTAGTGTATAAAGGGAGAAGGTAAGAAGGTAGGAGTGACAGAAACCTGCTGTCCTTCAAAGGGAAAAAAATCTCGCTGGAGATTTTCTTTGAAAGAGGAAGGAGTGAGTTTGAAAAGAAGTGAGTGGATGCCTGCACACCTAGAACCCACCTTAGGACACATTGAGATGACCCAAATACTCTAGAGCTAACCTTATTCAGGGTAATGACTGTTAGCTTTAAAGAAATAGACCTGTAAGCCAACTGTGGGATGGAGGGCTCACTCAGTCTGTGAAAGACACTGTTTTGTTTTCAGGGAATTGCTAGCAAGAGATTCCAGATTTCCAGGCTAAAGCTACCATTCCCACTAGCTTTTCCTGGGGCAGCAGCCACTGACCAAAAGCAGCAAAGGGAGCCCAGCCTGCCTGCTTTGTGGATACAGGTCCCATCCGACTTCGTGTGTCTTGCGTCCAGAGAACTCTCTGTAATCACTGCGATAAAATAATTGAATCCTGTGCAGCTACACAAAGCCACAAGACTCAATATCTTTACTCAAGAGTAAACCCACCAGCATCTAAGGCCATTGCTTCTGTGTGAACCTGAACAGGAATAGGTCTGGAGATTGGGATTTCAGCTAGCAAGCTCTTCTTCCTGCCATCTGCCAAGGAGAACCAGGCAGGAAAGGATGCTTAAAGCCAACTCATAGGCATTTTCTGGGGCCATTTGAAAGGATCCAGACTCTAATCAATGCAAATCTCTGGAAGTTCTTCTCTACGGATTATACCCAGCGCCAGTTATTCTTTTGTTGAGGCAACCAAACCTCCTTTCTCTGGAATCAAGCAGCATTTAATTCCTTCCACTTTTTTTCCTATTTCTCTCTTTTCCTTTTAGTCCTACTACTCAAAATATAGACACCCCATGTTTGGAACTCTGTGTGTTTTAAGTGGCCAGACTAAAGAGCAGTGGAGATAAATGGAAAATCAGAAAGGAATAACAAGGGCAAACAAAGAGAGGGGTTTTTTTTTCCCCTTGCAACTTTCCCTAGGCTATATCTTTAAAAAAAATAAAACTCTGTGCTTCTGCCCCACTTTCCCCACCCCCCCTGATTCTCTTCTGCCTTTGCTGCAACTCGACCGTTCCGATTCTGAGTTGATCCGATTACAAGATGCAGAGAAAGCTTTTCAAAACTGGAGCCCAGTTTGGTGCAGATGGCAGTCCATGCCGCCAAGATGGAGGGGAAAGGATCAGTTACACTGAGAGCAGCTGCAGATGTTCAAGGCCTAAAACGACTCCTTGGGCTCACACAAAGGAGGGTCCGCTTTCCTCGCTTTCCTCGGGAGTCACAAGTTGCAGCAGATAGAGATGTATAGTGTTCACTGGAACACTGGACAAACGAATCTGGCTTTTGGCTTGCCAGCATCTTTGGAGGGAAGGAGTGAGCTTACAAAACTTTGGCTCAGGGAACTGTTAGGAAAAATTTGGAAGGTGTAGGAAAAGGGGGGTGGGGGGAGAGAAATCTCCAAAGCAGCTTCTTAAAAAAAAAAACTGCTTGCATTCTCTAAACTGAGGGTGTGTAAGCTTTCCTTTCACCTTTCTTGGAGGTTTTTAAAATTGCTTACAAGAGAGGAAGCTTTAAATACACATCCAATTTCCTGTTTTAGACTTTGCTTTTTAAAAGAGATGGTCAATACTCAAAGGAAGGTGTGTTGTGTGTGCCTGTACTATCTAGCCTAGATACAGTTTGGTATGGCCGTATACATTGTTCCAGGTGGAAAGATTAGATTGATATAATTTAAAACCTGGAATGATAGAACTGAAGCCAGGGGAAAGATCCTATTTGAGTCCCACTCACAGTGGCTGCCTTTGGTTTGCTGAATCAACAAAGTGTGGTTTGCTGAATCAACATTTACTTGATTTCACCCAGTTGTCTGAGGTTACATACACTAACCTGCTCAATGGGTAATCATTTTCACACATGGAGTCGCAATTCAGCCTGCCCTGCAGTGGGAAGCTCGGGCCAGCATGAAACCTGGTTTGCCTTCCCATCTTGCTCCATCTTCGCCTCTCTCACAGACAACCTCTTGGCTGCATTTGCGCCGGTTTTTTGCTTTGGATCCGCACCTTGTGCAACTCCAGCCAATTATGACTTATTCCCTAAGACTCCGACTGAGCACCCCAGCTTGGTAACAACAACAGTAATGGTTAGAAAGGGAAGAAGGTGGCTTGTCAGCAGGACAATAGAAGCAAGGTTTTCAACACCATTGAATAGATTTTCCCTCCCGCAGTAACCTGAATTCATCTCACGCCAGGTGAAGCCTAATTTGAATGTCTCCTCCCACGCTCCATCAAACCTGCCGCAAGCAAATTACAAGACCTCGGTATTAAGGCCTCTCCCCCCTCTTCCCCCCCCTATTTTAAGAAGAGATCTGAGCTCTGGAAGGCGCCCGGGGAGGCTCGCTTATACTGCCGAATGAGCCTGAGCGGTGTTCAGGGTGGGTGGATTTGACTCACGGCCAGTGCATCTCCCTTCGTTTCCTTCGGCAACCCAAAAGCTGGTGCCTCAACGGATCTCCCTTCCCAGCTGAAGCGTCGTTCGAAAGCGCCCAGAGACGTGTTCACCCCTAGGAACCTTTCCAAACTGGAGTGACCAGGGCTCCTTCCGCGGGGAATCTACACCCCCTCGCGGGAGGCTGCTGTTTCCTGACAGGGAAGGGATCGCGACTCCTGGCCAAGCAAAGGCTCGCCCGGGGAAGGGCGGCCTCTCTTTTGACCGTACAATTCAACCAGCCGCGATCCAAAAGGAGCGCCCGCCGGCAACTGCAACCTTCGCTCCCAAATGCCACCCAGCCACCCTCACTGGCGCTGCGGCTCCGGGATGCTTCAGAGGAAAATCGCCACCAGCCCCGAGTCCAGAAGCGGCTAGTCGGAGGAAAGCGTCGCTTTTGAACTCCCTTCCCCTTTCCCCAATATCCTGGCAAGCGGTGGGCCTCACCTGCACCCGGGCTTCCGACAGTCCCAGCCGCTGGCTGAGCTCCTCTCTCATGAAGGCGTCCGGGTAGTGGGTCTCGTCAAAAAGCCGCTCCAGCTCGTTCAGCTGCTCCAAAGTGAAATTGGTGCGACTCCTCCGCTGCTTGATTTTCGTCTGCCCTTCGTCTTCCATCGCTTTGGCATCCTCTTTGCGCTCTTTCAGCTCCGGCGAAACTGCAGGACAAGACGCAGAAGGCGATCAGAGCCGCGTGCCGGACCTTCTCCCCCGGAGCCCTGGGCCTGCTCTGATCGCCGGGTCTCCCCCACGCCTCTTTTTGCCTTAAGCCGAGGGCGGAGGGGGGGGGCGTGAGGGGGGGGGGAGGGGGAGGATCAGAGATCAATGAACGAGGAAAGGTGACCTCCCTTAACGGTTTCGCGGCTGGAGGACTCGGCTGGCGAAGGCGCCCGGTGGGCCAAGCGGAAGAGCTAGCTTACCGTTTTGATCTGGCTAGGTCTTCCCTTCTGAGCCCCCCACTCCCAAGCCTTCGATGTCCCATGGACTTCAGCGGGCAAACCGATGCCTTTATGGGGGAGGAAGGCGGAACTCAATGCGAGTTGTTTCTGAACAACTCACCCAAGGGTTTCTTCTCCTTTGCAGCGCAGTCCAAACCTAACCTTCTTCGAGGTATTAGATGCAAAGCCTTGGTGCTTTATAAGTTTGGACAATTGTACCCCAGGGTCTCAATCGAATTACACATCAACAAGATTTTCTCTCTCTCTCCCACTCTCCCACTCTCCTTCTCACTCTCCCCCCCTCTCAAACACACACACACACACACACACACACACAGAGGATTTTCTTTCCCTCTAAGAGTTTCTTATGAAGATTTAGGAAAGCACCTCGAGTTCTGCAACGGGATCCGAAGGTCCTTTTCGCTTCCCCCAATAATCCCCAATCCTCTGCAGAACAGAGGCCAAAGGGGTTGAAACACTGAATTTAGAAAGACTTTATAAGTCGACTGGGGCTATTTTTCTTTTTGATGCGTGAATGCCAGATCTTTCCATTTGGAAGGAGGGTCTGAAGAACGATTGGATCAGAGAGGAAAAGATTTACCCTGAAAAAAAATCCGAGCCTTAGCTGAAGTTGGGTTTGGTGGAGGAATTTTTCGGCTTCTGGACACACATGGCAGTCCTGTTTTTTTGTTTTTGTTTTGGTTGCCTCCCCCTCCCTCCCAAAAAACCATCCCACGGAGGCCTTTCTGAGATAGAATGGCTCTTTGGGAAGCGAAGTCAACCGGGAAGCGGTTGGAAACTACCTAACCCGCCAGGCTTTTCAAGGCGGGCGGATTTTTCGCGAAATCCTTGCGGCAGGTGCGGGAGAGAGGCGGCAGCATCTTCCACACGAAACCTTTCCTCGATCTATTTGGAGAAGTCAATACTATCCTTTGGTTTCTTTGCGTAGAGAAACAGAAAAAAATGTCCCCTCCAAATTGAAAATCTTTGGAATAACAACTCAGTCCTATTTTGATGTCTGAAACTTTAAACCGTATCCCTCTCCATTTGCCACCTCTTTGTCCTGGTTCTCCCCCATTCCCCCATTCCAGATGAAAATGAAAACGGATCCACGCGGGGAATTTGGAAGTTTATACATTCCTGCGACAAAGGCCTGCTGCCATTGATCATAAACGAGAGAAACTCGGTTTTAATCTTTCCCTCTTGCTTCATTTTTTTCGAGTCTACACAGCCGAGCGCTCGCAGACACAAACCCTTCACTTTGGACAACAGGCCGGGCTTTTTACTTGGCCGAACCTAAGCTTATCTACCTTAGTCGCACATGTTTGCCCATCGCTCCGCCGAAGTTTGTTTATCGCAATTGCGCTTCCCTCTCTAATCATATTCGGAATTTGTTTAGCAAATCATTTCCGGCTCAGGTTTTTCAATCCAGTTCCGATCTGGAAGAAGCTGCTTTCGTTAAACAAAAGGTTTGGGGGAAGAAAAAAGAAATCCGCCTCCACCTCCTCTCCGCGAATATGGCACTCTCTGACTCAAACCACACACAGATATTCAAATATACTTGAAAGTTTGCGGCCCTGTTTAAGATTCATTTTTCTTCCTGGACGCTGGTGCGGTTTCTTCTTTTCAGTAGAAGGTCGTGAGGGCTTCAGAAAATAAAGCTATAAGAAGAAGCCTCCTCTCTTCGGATTTCACTGATGCTTATGATTAAATGTTTCTTTTATAGCGTGATGCTTAGGAACTACTATAAATCGCCTCTTTCAAATTAACACTTTTTGAAATGCACTTTGTAAAAGGTAAAGCGTAATTTTCTTACTTTTACTGTACGCAATATTTGATGCACTAATAATGACTACACTTTAAGCTTTCTGGTCCCCCTTCTAATATGCGATTTATTTAATCCCGCCTTTGTTTACATTTGCAAATATCGAAGAGTCGCTTAGTGGAAGCGAATTAATTTTCAACCGTAAATATTACTTAAAGATGGACTTCAGAGTGACCTACTCTACGTATTTCGTAGGAAGTTAAACGTGTTTTTTAAAAAAGTAATGTGAAGAGCAATCGGACCTTCACATTGGCGGTAAAAAAGACTTTGGAGTCTCCCCCATATAAAAACCTCTCTCTGAAGAACTACCCTAAACAAAACCCTCACAGCCAACCAGGCAGGCAACGCTTACCGGAGGGAAACCTCAGTTAGCCAACCTAACCAGCACCTCTCTCAAAGAGGCATCCACAGTCGATACCTACAAAAATTCACAGGTAGAATTCCGTCCACCCCAGCCCTTCCGCCCACCCCCGGCTATCTGGAATCGTACCTCCCTGGGAGATGGCCGGACTGGCTTTCTCTCCCCCGCCCCCCACGTCCCATTGGGTTTAGTTTTTAATATTCTCAGCGCTTTGCACTCCTTGTCGAGAGAGGGAAATTGAAGGCACCGAAGATCGGACCGCCCGGCTCCATCCTTTCTCTCGCCAAGTTTTCTCGCCGCTTTCTTTGCCGGTCCGGACTCAACGCGGATTTTTCAGCGGGGCTTTCCGAGCGAACCCGCAAGCGTGGAAACGCAAGCACACGCGTGCGCGCGCGTTGAGCTAGGCGCGCCTTTTCCTTGGCTCTCCCTGACACCCCCAGCCCACATCTCCGACAGCCACCCGCGTGGTCCCCAGCCTCGCCTGTTGCCCCCCACCCCACCCCACACACAGGGGGTGGGGGCGTCTTACCTTCGCTGAGTTTAGGAGTGTCCGCGTCCCGATTCCTGTCGACGGCGCCCATGTCCAGGTCTCGCACCGGCGATCGCCTTCCCGAGCCGCCGCCGCTTCCACCAGCTCCCCGGGCCGCCGGGCTGCCGCTCTCCTCCGCGCTGGGCTCGTTGGAGCCTCCGGACTCCTTAGCTCCCCTGAGGGGTCCGCTTTCTAGCACCTCCCTGTACGTGATCAGCTCCTTCTTCTCTTTCACTTTCTGATCAAACGACTTGGAGACAAAAGCGGTAAGTTCTTCCATCGCCGGCTCTTCTTTGGGCTCTTTTTTTCTCCCCCTCGTTGGCCTCCTCTGGCTGCTCCGAGCCCCCCAATAAACACATCAAGGGGGTCGGGAGGAGGGGGAGTGGGAGGAGAAGAAAAAAAAAGCGGGGGAGGGTGGGTGGGGAAGGGAGAGAAAAGCCGCAGAGGGGGCTGGCTGGAGCGTTAAATGGAAGCGGAGGTTTCCCAACCCCGAGCGAAGCTTGTAAAAACCGGCCTTTGACAATTCTCCCCGCGAAGAGTTCTGATCTGTCTGGGCTTCGGTGATTGAAGTCTCCACTATTTATACTTTGCAGAGCCAACCCCTCGTTTGGAGCAAATAACCTCCCCTTTGGTACTGGGAATGAACCCCCTTCTCCTAGAGCAGCCCAGGCGCACCGCCGAAAGAGAAAAGGAGCCAGGCGGGGAAGGGGTGGGGGGTGGGGGAGAGGGAGAAGTTCTCCCTCCCCCACCCCTACCCCGCCCCTCGCCCCCTTTCCAGATCCGGCTGCTGGGCTTTCTTTCTCTCTCTCTCTCTCTCTCTGCCATTAATCCAGGATTGACAACAAGCCCTAATTAATTTAATTAGGCATGGATCCTGCGCTGGTGTGTCCCGAGTTAGTTAAACGCTTGGGGGAAAGGGGCTGGATCTGCAGGGGAGGGGCTGAAATGTGGAGTCACCCGGGCGGGTGACTGCCAGAAGGGAAAGAAGAGCGCTTGGGCTCAACGCCTCCTGGAAGCGCTCCGGGCCGACAAGCCAGCGAGGGGCGCGACTGGCCACCGCTTGCTGGAAGAAGAACTCGCCAAGCCCGAGACGGACCCTCTCTTGAAACCAGACCTGCCTCCCTTGGGTCGCCTCTCCCTCATCCCAATACCCGGATCCGCGGCTCTTGACCTCGGGAAGAGGCAGAAGAGCAGAGCTCGCTGCTGGGGAGAGCGGTCTGTAGGGCAAGCCCCAAAGCAGTGGCTCCCTTGAGAGCCGTGGCCCGAGGCTTCCAGGCAGCGAACTTAAGACGGCTGCAACAGTTGTGGCCGATCGGGCACTCGGAAGGTCGGGGGTGGTGGAGGGAAGCAAACAAAAGAGGCTCATTTTCTGGCAGAATTAGCCCACCGGGCATCCACCCATCCCCAATTTTGCCCCGTCCACTTATTGATACTCCCTCCCTTTTACGTCCACAATTGCAGTTGGGTTCATTCTCCAGTTAAGTTCACTGCCTTCGGGTTTGCCACAGTCACTGACATCCGACTGAGCAACCCCGGTCTCCCTCCAGATTATCACTGCACTAGTTTTACTAGGAAAGAAGTCCAGTTTGTCTCTTTTTGATAATAAAGTGTCATCCAAGCCAGGCGTGATACTTGGTGAGGTTCATGAAGTTTTCTTGGCAACAGAAGGCAAGGCAGCCACAGCATTTTTCCTACCAGCTCCCCTTTTAGCTTATTGCCTTGGGATTCCCTGGTGGTCTTCCATCCAAATACTAACCAGATGTCACCCTGCTTGATGTTGCCGAGGCCTTCTTTTTTGGTACTATTTGATTATAGTACCAAATAGTCTCCAGATTGAAAATTCAGATGGAGTATAGATTCTCATTTTGGGAATTTTTTAACTGGGAGATGTAAGGGAAAAGGAGTCATATTTTTGACTTGCTGGTGAGGGTAAGGGTTAAAAGGGGAGAAAGTATTATCACTTGTATAATTGCAACATGAGTTAATGGGATCATTTGAGAGAATCTGGATTTACCATCCATGAATAGGCAATCATTAGATGCAAGCCCATGTTCATTTTTTTTTAGTAAGAACAAGCGCCCCTGACACTTTCTTTGTGTAAAGAAATAGGGAGAGGTGAGGTTCGATTCCCAATTCCTATGGGGAGGGACGAAGGGATGTGAAAGTCTCATGGGAGTAAATTGAAAGCTGCTGAGAATTATATTGCCCAGAAAGGGTTTTTTTTTTTTTTTTTCATACTCCAGGAATCCTAAGCGGTATCTAAAAGCCAAATTGAAATGCTCATTGCTATTTGGCTCCCCTCCCTTGATTAGTACATTTTGTTGTTTAATACTCAGAATGCAAAGTTTTCCATTTGGTTGGAGTGATTCCAAATATTTTCTACATTATTTTATATTGAGATATATATTACCCCTTTTCTCAGCTAATGTAATATTATAAGCAACATGTATATTATATGGAATCAAGGCATCTAAACGTGTTTTAGATCCAGAAGGTAAAAGTTAAACTTTTAAATACTTTATTAGAAAATTGTCAGAATGTCTTATACGCTTTATGGCTTTCAATTAAGTGCTCTTATTCAGATGAAAGTGGTGATACAAACTCCTAGAAAACCACAGAATTATGAGTAACTTATTTTATAGACTAGATAGAAATTGCTTCTCACTGAACAAGTAAAAAAGAACAATATGAATATAATTCTATTTGGAAAGTAGAAATATTAACTCTGGAATCTTAAAGGCATCTCTTGAAAATCACCATCTATTCAAGTTCAAAGATATCTTGAGAAATGAATGGGGGCTCCGGATACCAATTCTTATAAAAGCTTTCTATAGTAAATTCTTTTTAAACTAATCCTGGTGTTTCTTTCTTTTTCAGTGACAATGACAGGATTTAATTCAAGTTTCCTACATCTCCGGATAAGCTCTAGTGTACATTCCTTCACTGCATTAAAGAAAATTAATATATGGAGACAACTTTCCAGTAAAGTGACTCTGACAGTGTCATTTAATTACTGAATGAAAATAAATAGGCTTCTATTTGAAAAATAAAACAAACTATGGATTAATGCATTAATTTAAAATTATTTTTAAATACATAAAAAAAGAAATTGTATAATTGTATGTTGGAAATGTGTTCAATGAATTGAGGAGTCTATTCAAAAATTGCAGATGTCACACTGGTGAGAGCTAGAAATTTCTGTTTTACACTAGTAAAATTGCAAAATAACCTTTCCACTGAGGTTAATTAGGAATTAAAACAGAAATGCTTCCAATCTATCAATTCAATCAAATATATGTAGTAGTACTTCTGACTTGGACATTAAGGTGTAAATGCAGATATCCAATTTAGTAATTCTGCGTTTAGTGAGGGTTACTTCAGAGAAGCATGAATACAGGTGTAGTATTAGTGCAATTTTGCCTATGTTCACCAAGAGTTGACATTTAGTTCTCAGGACTGAGTTATTCCCAGAGAAATGAATATAAAAATGCCATTTGAACCGGAAGCTCTATAACATTTCCTTATGTATCATTGATTTAAATATTTCACTTTTGAGCATACCTATGCAGTGTAAAATGTCAGAAACAGATTGTTTGCTCTTCTGCAAATCCAAGTAAGTTGAATGTGAAATGTACAAACATGGTTAGTTTCATAACCAAAACCTGAAAACGGATTTGTGGCTTTCAAATGTTTAAACTTGAACCTTGACATTTGAACGTGGATTGGTCTGCATTTAATGTAGATAGTTTATTTCCAAGATCATGATTGGTGAGAGGAGGTAGTGGTGGACCAAAGAGCAGAAAACCAGGATCTCCATTGCCCTCTTGAATAGCATTTCAGCTCCCTACGAATGAACAGCTCTATCCCACATATCCCAAGCCCTGAAGTCATCCAGAGTAAGCAGCAACTACTTCAATCTGTGAAACAAAAGTGTCTCATTTTTATGTCAAATGGGTTTGGTTTTTTTTGCAGAAGTGATCTGCAGTACCTGTGACAGGAAACAGTGAACTGCTTGAATCGCTCTTGATTTAAATGAAAACCGATAAATTTCATTCTTACCTTCTCCAATTGAGCTTTTAACTTTCCCTCCTTTAGCAATAATCTCAACCAACCTTAACGTAGTCTCAACTGGGAAACTAATATGCGCCTAAGCTCCGAAAACCCTTCCTTTCCACTGTAGAAAAACTGCAGCATCTTAAAAGCAGTTTGCAGATAAATCATTTCAATTTTAATCAAAGTGCAGTTTATACAGATAGAACTCTGTGATTTATTCGGGATTCCCCCCCCGCCCGCCTTCTAGATGTGACGCGCGTGTGCACAAAAACCGGACATAAAGAAAGGCCACACGCGCACACACAAAAAAACCCATCCACCGGTGCATTAAAAAAAAAAACCTTGATACTGACGTTAATTAAAATTTTTTTAAAAATGTGTTAATGTGAATGCGGTTGTTTGGGGTAAAACCAAAACAAAAGAAGAAGCAACGCCGCCAGGAAGAAAGCCGCGCCGCCGCCAACGCAAGACGCCGGCCTTCCGATCGATAATCTCGGCGCTCCTCGCCTGGGCACGTGGATGGATGAGTGTTGTGATGGCTTAGTAAGGTCTGGCTGGCGGTCTGGTGGAGGAAGGCGCTGAGCTCAAACTACGGAAGCTCGGCAGCGCGGAGGCCTTCAGCCGGCTCCTGAGGTAAGTGGGCTCGGGTTTCGGGGAAAGGGGGTGGGGGTGGGGTGCGGTTTGCCGCTGGGCTCGGGAAAGAGGCGGAGGATTAGGAGAGCTTTCAAAAAAGCCGCTATAGCGCCTCATATTCTGGTTTTCGGGAATATAGGGGACAGAATCCGGTCTGGAAGCCCTATAATATGGGCAATGCCCGGAGCCTTGGCGGTTCGGGCCGTTCCTTCTTCTCGACCGAGGAAATCTGTTTGGAGGGTATCCACGTCCCGGGGTTTCCTAGGGCTCCCCATCTTTTTCCTCCGTCAGCTGAACCGATGGGGAGAGTTGCTGGGCAGGGAGGAGGCTGAGGTCGCTCCTTTGAAAAGCCTTCTGGGTACTAAAGGTGGCCCGGAGCCGCCTTTGCTTTCAAAGCAGCGAGCCGGCCTCAGATATTAGGCCTGAATTGGACTGAAGCCTGTTCCTCCCACCCCACCCAACTTGCCAGAAGCCAGCCCAATTCATCTGGGGTCCAGTTTGGGGAAGGGGAGCAACGGTTTGTGTAAGGTCCGTCCTCCTGCCATTTAAACTTTTTAAATAACCACCATCCCTTGTTTCTCATGCTAGCTTGGC